CGCCGGTCGCAGCGCGGGGGGTGGGGGGGGTGTTTGGCGCATGCGCGGAGCTCAGCGCTGGCCGGACCCCCCGTCCAGCACCCCTTAAACCACCTCCGTGGGCTGGGGTTCAGTTTATTGTAGCCTCCTGCACTGACAGCACAGCTGAAATATCGAACCCCCCGAAACACAGCAGCAGACACACGCACAGGTAAGAAATACCCTGGTTTGGGTTTTTTATTATTATTATTGTTTTCTCCAAAGGCTATAGAAACCCTCACCGATTTCAGCTGGGAAAGGTGTCAGCTTTGGGGCCTTCGTTCTAAGCAAATAAAGGTGGGGTTTATCCAGACTGAAAGGACAGGAAGAGGTTTGGATATCAGTCTAACCAGCCCGGGATTTAAATGACAAAGTGGGTAGATTCCCTCTCCAGAGAACACGCTCGCTCTCCAAAAACAGAACAAGGCCTTTGTGATAAAACAGGGCTCTAACTAAATCCCAGATAAAACAAGCAAATCCCTTTTTAAAGGACAGCTGTGCTCTGGGAAATAAAATCATTCCAACAGGAGCCCTGCCGAGCAGTCCAGTGGGAGTAGGAGCTCACCCCTGAACACAGGCCCCAGCCCAGCCAGAGGCAGGCAGCACCTTTCCTCTCACAAGCTGATTCAACCCCAAATCTATCAGCTGGCTAGACGGTTTCCACTAAAAACTGCAACACTAAACCAGCAGCAACACATTTAGTCATCCACCAGCAGCAATTCTAGAACATTCATGGCTGCACACTTTGATTTGCAGTCCTGAAAATTGATTTATATCTTCTCCTGTCTCAGCTACAGGTGTATGAAACCTCCTGAGGCAAGCAAGGCCCAATGACACGTGTTGCTGTGGATCAACATTGTCAAAGTCTGCCCAAGCACGTGGGCACTACTGGGAGGATGACATTTCCCAAAGAAAAGGTCTCATCTTGAAATGTATTGTTCACACATTCCAAAATTAAGACCTCTCACCGAGTAAGGAATCATTTTAAACTTGCAGAGCTTTAGAAAACACACAAAATTTGTTTCAATAGCAAAGGACTTCACAGCAGTCAGCAGGATGAGTTTCCTGACCCATGCATTATTCCACAGGAAAGTCACAGATGATAGAGAAAATAAAAGCTTAATAGTGTTTAGAGACCAGGTAAAACAAAAACAATCAAAAGTTCATGGAGTCGTAACTTCATCATCATAATAAAATGAGTATATTAAAACATCTTGCCCCATCTTTATGTAGAGATTATGCATATTTAAAATACTATTTTTCCAGGTAAACATAATAAAAACATTACTCAAAGAGCAATTAAGATATCCTGCATTACAAGATGCTTTTGAAAGGCTTCTTCCTTGTTACACTGTTTTCAAGTATATCAGTCAGGTGAATCAGTCAGTGGTATAAAAAGCTCCTTTTACTTCTTCCATTGCATTTTTTTCCCCAGTTTCTCCTGGGCAACTGGTTCGTGTTCTGCCCACACGAGGTCCTGCCTTACTGGATGCTTGGATTTGGAAAGGCCACTTTGTAGACGAATGGATTGCAAACACCAAGGGTCCCACGTCCAGCCACTTCCTGCTCAGTCAGAATCATCTCCACAACCATCACTGCCTTCCAGGTCGCTGCTGATCTGTGAAGGAAGTGGAGACAGTCTGTCAGTGTTTCACTCACATCTGGGGACTGACCTCAAGGAGACAGTGCCTTTAAACTTCTCCAGAAGCCTAAGGAAATGGGGCTAGGTCCCAGCCTCCAGTCTTAGACCCAACTACTGTAACAAGCTTCTGTGATAGTAAATTATGCTTCTTGTAGCAAAAAAAAACCCCAAACATTGGATTACACACCAGGAGAACAAATTTTTTTCTCATTTATACTTCCAGCTGTATGATTGCAACCTTTTGTATGTGGAAAACTTAAAACTGGGATAATAGCATGAAATGCTGATGTTTAAAATAAAGGTGAGACAAATTAACAAGTGGTTTTTTTCATGCAAGTCCTCAAAAAGCTGTTTGTTACATTGTCTAAGGCCAGATTTGAGAAGTTTGGTTGTCTGTTGCAGAGGACTCATGTCCCAGCTGTATTAGAGATGCACAAGGGATCACTAATACTTGTTCAAAGTCAGTTGTACAAAGTAGTGTCAGGGGAGTGCTACCAACGTCAGTAACTTAGAAGGAAACTGAAGTCAAGAGTCTTTAACTGTGAGCCCCTCCTGCAGGACTCAGTCAACACAGTGCAATAGGCTTGGGGAGGGTTATGCCATTTTTTTGAAGCAAGAATTTTGACTGATATGATTGGCATCAAAGGATTTTATAAAGAAAGGCTAACATGACAATGCACTTGTAGTTCTATTTTTATCCCTCACCACCCCTTGCTGAAAACATACAGAGCTCCCAGTCCCATGGATTTAATATTGACAGTTTAACAGCCTACAACAAAACAAACTCTGAGACTTTGACAGTTGCCTCTGTGCCAGCAGGCACAGCTCCCTGAAGTGCACAGAGCCTGCAAAATCTCAGGGGAGTCTGATGTATCACCCCTCCTTTATCCTTCTCCAGACAGCTTGTGCTAACTGGGATGCCAAAACTGTCTGTGCTGGAGTTTATCTAAAGCAAGCAGACCTGCCTCCTGCCAGCAGTAACTCAGTGATTTTGAGCCTGTCAGCAGGACACCCTGTCAGCATTATCAGCAAGACCCCTGAGCCAAGTCTCACCACTCTGACTCTCTGAAGAGACCCCACATGGTCTCTTCAGATCACATTTAACCGAAATAATGTGGCATTTATCATAACCTCCTGTCACAAAGGTCTTCACAGAGCACTATGCTTCAGAAAAACAATTACCACAGGTACAAACATCACCCTGAGAAATTTCTGGTATCTTGCCTGTACTATTCAACAAGGCTGTAAATTTTATTTTGCATGTTGAAACTCTCTCAAACAAAAAAAAAAATGCCAGACAGGATTAAACCTAAAGTTCTTCAAGGCAGGATCAATATCTACACAAAATAAAGCTATTTAAGGACTCCACATTGAGTGGGAAACAGTCATTATTTTCTTCTGAGTTGCACTGCACACAAGTTTTAGCTCTGCCCATCATTTGGCCTTCAAGGATTTGGCAGCCTTCTGCTCAATGAAATCTGAATTGCATACAGGACTGTAAGGTATCTTTAGGTCATCAAGTCCAGCCCCCCAGCCAAGAAGGGCTTCCTTCAAAGTTAGATGGGGTTGAACAGGGACTTGTCCAATCAAACCTTGAGTTTTAAGACTTAAATCTAAGTGCAAATCTAAAGAAATACTTGGTGAGAGTTTGGCTCAAGCTTCCTCATCTGGTTTCCATCCTACTTCTAGCACGCCCGAAACATCCTTCTATTCTTTTCTTGTGAGTTTTAAATCTCAACCAGAAAAAAAGAAAAATCTTGAACTTAAACCTGTGATTTTCTTAAAAATGTATTCTACACCTGTTTTACTGCACCTTACAGCTGACAGCAGTTCCTCTTGTCAGAAATCAGGTTCCACAATATCCCATTTTACTCAGCTAGAGTTGCTCTAATGACCCATTTTGAGCTCATGGCAAATTTACTTAAAAAAAAAAAAAATCCTACATTTCCCAATTCCAAACCTTATTTAGTGAACAGAGCATTACACAAGGTGAGAATCAGCCCAAAATCAGGAAATGCAAAGAGCCAGCAGTTATTTAAAGGTAAATTGTCTAACAGCTTCACAGCAGCAAAAGCTGGTAGTGCATCCACAACTTCTGTTGCTGGCTCATGATTCTGCAAACTAGCCTGTGCTTTAAGAGATTTCCCCCTCCCTCCTGCAACTGCCCCAGGCACAGCCCTGTGGAAGTAAAACTGTCTGGTTCATTCCACTGTCACCAAGTGCACAGAGATGGAACAGAGAATACACATTTCACACTCCCCACGACTGTCATCTTCCGTGGTGAATTCATGGAAAACAAAAACGTGACCACAGGAAGAGCCAGTCCAACATGACAGCCTCCATTGGATAAAACAATGGCTCCAGCCGTTACCTTTGAATTTGTGTTGCTAGCTTGCATCTCGGCAGCAGAGGAGTTGAAGTCATGAATGGAGAGGGTGCTCAGCCAGTTTGCCATGGATTTTTCCTCCCTTTCTGTGCTGATGATGGTAGGATAAATGTACTGCTCTTTGAAAACAGCAATTTTCTCCTCCTCCTCTGCCCACTCCAGGGGCTCGTGCAGCCCGTCGTTGCCGAAGCGCCGGTTGTACTTCTCGAAGTGCACCCTCTCCAGAACCAGCCCCAGCCCCGGGGCCTTGGGGACATCCACCTTCTCCTCGCCCCAGCTGCGCTCCAGGATGGACTCTGCAGCATAGCCCTTCACGATGGCTATCACCAGCCCCACCATCTTGCGGATCTGGTGCATCATGAAGCTCTGCCCCTTCACCCTGATCACGGCGAACTCCACGCCCTCCCTGAGGAAGGGCTCCCCGCAGGACACCTCCATGATGTACCGCCGGGCACTGGGGTCCCTGGGGCCCTTCTGGGACGTGAAGTTGTGGAAGTTGTGGGTCCCTCTGTAGCAGGCCAGCAGCCTGTTGACCTTGTGCAGGGTGTCCCTGTCCAGCCGGTAGGCCTCCTGCTGCACAGCCTGCTCCTTGGGGGCGAAGGCGAAGGTCGGCAGCATGTACGAGTAGGTCCTGGCATCACACTTGTTCTTGGAGTTGAACCCCCCCGTGACCCTCTTCAGACCTTGGTGTAAAAGTGACATTAGGTTTCTGAATCAGTAGGTTACAGCCCGACTGTGGCCTCACTCCTACAGACAAGAATGCTTTTTAAATGAAATGCAATCAAAAGACAGATTTGGTTTACAGGACGCTGATTTCAAAGCAGCAGAAACACAGAGGCTGTCGGGTAACGACAGGACTGGGGGGAATGGGGCAGAGCTGGCAGTGGGCAGATTCAGGCTGGACCTGAGGAAGAAGTTCTTCCCCATGAGAGTGGGGAGACCCTGGAATGGGTTGCCTAGGGAGGTGGTTGAAGCCCCATCCCTGGGGGTCTGTAAGGCCAGGCTGGATGAGGCTCTGGGCAGCCTGGTCTAGTGGGAGGTGTCCCTGCTCATGGCAGAGGGGTTGGAACTGGGTGACCCTTGTGGTCCCTTCCAGCCCTGACAGATTCTGATCTGTTTTAGCAGAGGACTTTAGAGCCCTAATGGCTTAATGGTTGGACTTGATGATCTTAAAGGTCTCTTCCAGCCTAAAGGATTCTATGATTCTACAGGTCTATGTAAAACCAAACCACTTATGATAAAATCCCAGTGGTGAGGGAGGGACCTCCTGCAGCAGAAAGCTCCTCTTTGAGAACGTCTTCTCTGCCTATTCCAGTATCCTTACCCAGAATTCTGATGTGAGAAGGAAGATGGCTATTGATCTTTTCTAAGATGTCATCTATTAGCCTGACCTTCAGCGACACAATCTGTCCAGCTGCAGACACACCCTACAAAACCCACAGAACAGACACAGAGTTATGTCCCGTGGAGGCTCAGGGACTGCACTTGCAGAACTCTAACACCAGAGTCTGGGAGAGCACAGGCTGTAACCAACACACCTTATCTGTCCGAGCACACCGCTGGAAAGACATTTTCTTCATATCCTCCCCGTGGTTTTCTGGGATGCAGCCTGACTGGACAAGGGCAGACACTAGGTCATCCTCAATTGTCTTGAACTGTGAAGATCCCACGTTTCTCTAAAAGAGGTTATATGGTCAAAATAAGACACAGAACAAACAGGAACCATCGGGTAACTGAAGAGGATACAGCAGAGAAATTCTGCTCATCAGCCTTTGCTGTGAAATTCTTTAGAAGTCTTCCCTTCACAGCCCTGAAAGCACTGCTGTTCTCTGACAAAACTCACTACCCTGCACCAGAGAGCATTAGTCACACACCCACATTCTGATTTACCTTCCACTGCTCTGGCAAGTAGAGGATCATGTCTCATGTCACTCTGCAATACTTCTGCAGTGGAGTTCTTTGGGGATTCCTCCATCTGTGTGCCACAGCACCTCTGACAAGGGCTGCCCCAGTGGTTCACAGCTGCTGCCCCACACCCAGCCCCTGCAAAGCCTGCCTCTGGAAATGAGACCGGGCTCTTGTGCTCAGTTCACCTCAGCTGCTGTACAACACAGACTGTGGGTTTCTCCAGTGACTCCTGCACTCAACCCACCGAGGAGCAATAACCACTCCACTCGTGTGTGAGGCTGCAGAGCACACCCTTGGCACAGCTCAGTCCCCAGGGCAGCAAAGCTGACAGACACCTACAGGGATGTGCCCACAAGCACAAGGCTTACTGCTTCACCAGATCTGCTTTGTTGCATAAACCTGGAGGATTCCCTTCCCTCTCCCTGTGGGATCTTTTCAGTTATCCCACAGAACTTCTAAAGCATGCCCCCAGCCCTGTGGAGCCTGCAGGATGCTGAGAGGAGCAGCAGATGGAGCAGCACCATCCTCCTGCTGCCAGGACTGTGTGCCACAAGAGGGTCCCTGCAGGGCAGGCCTGGTGGTGGGGCACTGTGTGAACACTGGTGCTGTGACAGGGCAGGCTCCCTCTCCTCCCACCTGCAGGCACAGAAGTCTTGCAGCAGCATTCCCATTTCTAAACTGCTACAAGCCAAAACAGAAAGCATCAGAAAAAGGAATATTTAAAACATCTTCGAGTACAGGTAATATTTTTAAAAGTAAAAGAGCAGGTAACATAGATGCAAGTGTGTTCCATTCAGACTGGCAGCTCAGTTCTCTGGAATCTGCATGCAGTGAGACAGCTCGAGGTCTAACCTAAAAGAAACCTGGTGCAGCTGCTTTGCAGTGCAAGGCTGCAGCCAGGAGCTGGAGCAGGGGTCAGAAGAGGATCACTAAGCAGCACTTCAGCTTTTGGCAGAACTGCAGCACCCCTGCTTCCAGTCTCCTCAGGAGCCTCGTCTGCAGCAGTTTTTGAAAGATCTGCTGGTGCTCTATATTAAAGGTAGGCACACCAGAACCACCAAGTGTCAGAGATGCACCACTGCCTTTTTTCACTCCAGTGACTGCAGAGCCACTTGAACCCAGGCACACGCTGTTCTCACCCCAGCTTCTCACGCTGCAGCTGCTTCCCAGATCTGGAACTGTGACAACAGTCACAAACCTAACAGGCTTCAAAAAATAAGCAGGCCCCATTGTTCTGCCAAACCCCCACCTGCATCCCGTGGTAGCCTTTCCCCGAATACGCCATCAGCAACACAATCTTCCTTTTGGGTGACTTCTTATTCTGATCCTCG